ACGAGGAGGATTATGACAGCGAATCACACTGAGGTTTTATCGACATAGCAGGAAGTGGATGGATGCGGGAAAGAACACGCCGAACTTACCTTTGGCCAAGGGAGTCCGAGGGCTTGTATAAGCGCATTCTGTGGACACTAGGCCTCATTGGCAAACGGTTTGGCCGCTTATTCTGCCGTCGCACGTATCCGCGGTCTTGCAACACCTGGGACAGCATTCTGGGACCTGTTGTTTAGAGGTCCACCGTCCTGACCAGTGGGTGACAGGCTCCTTGTTCTGTCGGTGGCGATCAGGTACATGCATTAGTAGAGGGCACAATCACCGATCGTGTTATGACGCTCACTTGTCGCAACGTCACGGGATCGAGCTCCAGGTATTGCACATTTCGCTGGCGACGATCGGATTGCGGTGAATAAGCCAGGGATGCTCACACTAGTCACCCATATATTTGTAGGTAATGCTATTCTGCCAATATTTCGTGCCGTCGCGCAGCTGCAGACAGGACTCGAGACTGAGAGCCCGGAGGCTCAACGGACCGAGGGAGTTCCATAACGCCTCTCTACAATTCGAGACAAGATATTTTTTCAGGCGGGAATCGATGTACACAGGTGTACTCTCCCCGACCAGCTCCGGCTAACAGTCTACCGCATGTTTGGAATCAGTCCAAAGTTGGCTCATGCAGAGATTGATATCGCCCAGCTTCGATGCATGCCGGCCATTCGAGACGCCACCAGATGCATAGCTTACGTTGCACTACCAGCTCCGGAACTGACGAGGAAATCTTGAACGTCAGGCACCACCGTCGAAATGAGAGCTACTTGAGAGCTTCTGGATATAACGGGATCCCAGGTTTTCGGCAACTAAAGACACCTCTCAGCCTGACTGACGAACTCCACCGTATGCTCTAAAGTAGGTGGGGAAGCAGGGACAGCGACTTGCTCTGCATCTACCTCACTCTCCCCTCCAGATGTCACGACATAGTGAGAAGACCAGAGACAAGAGAGGGCACAGTTATCTGGCACGGCAGTAACATTCATCTAGACGTACCTTTTCAGCCCCTGCTCCACAACGTACACTGACCAGGATGTTATACAAGCAAGTTTTGGGGAATAGCTCGGATCCGGTGTGGGCCTGCAGTTGGGTGTGCCGCACACACTATCATTGTTGGCATTCGGTATGGATGCTCATTCAAAAAACGCCTACACGATTCCGTACTGCTGATCTGCGCACCTAATCCGTGGCTTGTTGTAGGGCGCATACTCTAGATGAAGGCCGATCCTGCCACAAGACGGGGTGGCAACCATGATTAATCGTCAAAACAAGAACTGTGCGGCAAGCAGTTGCATCAGCTACCTGCTAAGCGCACCTGCGGCGCACTCGATGGGGACATTCCGCGCGCTTGCATCCGTACGTCAGTGGGCGGCCCCCAAACTGAAGGAGCCTTTTACGCCAGGGACGGATTGCGCAGTAATGCGCGTGGTCGACTATTGAAGTACGACGAAAAGTGGATAATTTGTGAGCAACCTAACCGATCAGGGCAATGGCCTAATGGTGACGAATCACCCAAATACTTCAGAAAATCGAATTTGCACCTGCAGAAGTTCATGGTGGCCGTCTGGTGGTCTGTTTGTTACCGGCCATGACACATTTCCGGGACTAAAAAATGCATCAGAGCAGAGGCTTACAGGGAGCATCACGCACGGCCACATGTGGTCAGGATGCCACTTCAGAAACGCAATAAAATGAGATACGAGACTTTTCTGCATCCTCCATATTCTCCCGATCTTTTACCTACTGCAAACCATTTTTCAGATTCCGGTAACTTCTTCAAGCAGCATAATTTTCAACAATAAAAGATTTCACATTCCCTATCTTATTAACGACCAGGCATAGCGTCATTTTTCGTCGCTGGCACGGATGCATAAATGTTCAGGGATCAGGCTTTGAGCGCCATTGATGCATTTCCTTCAATGAATACTTACTTGCTGATTGTCTAACTGCTGTCGCGTGTTCACTTGCTTTGGACATCTTTCACGGTGGACTCCTTGATTACTTCGGAGGGTTCGAAAAGTAAAAAACTTGTTCCGGTACTCGACTTGTCGTCTTCTTCCTCCCTATTCGCATAGACGGTCACTTGTGTTCCCTTATTTTCCTGCTCAAATTTCTTTGTTGCCCGTTTTTGAGATATCCTAATGTCACCCTGTGTTTCCAGCCGTTGTACATGATTCACATGCTTTTATCCGTCCACTTACCGCTGCTTACCATGAATCCAGATTTAACAGAGTGAAGTTTACCAACCAAAACCAACTGACGCATCCTCGTCAAGGACAGTTTCGTGACTAGGAATAAATCAAAGTGCTGCATTTTAGCAGAAGGAGACCGATTTTCTGATTCGCTTGCAACAACTGGGCCACAACCAGTGCATGAGTGGACGTAATTAGACCCCGATCTGCACGACCTACTTACGAAGTGCCGAGCACTCATCGCTCATCAGGTAGTCGTTCATAGAACGGCTCGCACCAAAGTGAAGTTTTGCACTGTGCGTGCTTTGCGTCTACTGATGCACTTATACGAGTTATTGGCCGTCAGAAACGACGGTGTATAACACCAGTTCCACACAATTTGCTCAGTACTTCCAGATTTTTTGTTACTGTATTTGTAATGCCTCGGCTCAGCCGCCCGACCTCACCTTTCGTATGCTTGACCCTTATATGAGAGTGGTCCTGGTGTGGAAGGATAAGGCGCAGGTGAAACATCACTACCATCACTACAAACTAACTCGCACGCAAGTCACTTTCCCGGCGCCCACATGCTGTGGGATATACGACGAACATCGGGCGAATACAACGGTCGTAATCTCATTGGTGTAGACGTTTGACTGCTCTCAGTGCGTCGGGACGGCGTGCGATCACCGTCTGGAGTCGGCAAGGACAGACATACTGCTTGTGTCAGCGTCTTCTGACAACAGAGTGCTGGGTTCGCCAGTCGAATGGCCACTGCTTAGGCTGTGGCTAGCACCTCATTGATGTAGACTTGCCAAACAGCCCTCTGATCCTCTTCTCCCTCAACCGCATGATTTTGGCGACAAACCAATATCACGTTGACCAATGCTGGCTGGAACATAGTGATTGACATAGACAAACAGCCAGTCTATGCATCTGACACACGAAATGATTCCCACAGTGTGTGCCAGACATTCACAAGGCACCTTGACGATCAAATGTGCGGACGTTAACAAGACAATTATCAGTCCTGTGGGGATGGAATTACTTTGCCAATTTACAGTCTTTCAAACTGCGAGCCTTAGAGCGTCATGATAGATTCAGCAGTGCCGTACATGTGATGGTGGTTGTGGATAATGCTGCCCTCTCCAGCCTCTTCGATGCCAACTGGAGTTTCTAAATTGATGGCTTAGTAGAACAAAGGATTGCCTTCTGTCATTATTGATACTTCAGGACAAAACGCTTATAGAGGTTTATGTGCCATTATCTAGAGCCACATATGCATCTGCTATCTCCAGACTAAATGTTTACCCGAAAGCTTATCGGCGTCAACTGGAAAATCGATTCTCAAAGCCAATTTTAGGCTAATGAGAGGTTTGCTGTTATGAGAGAATTTCAGCAGTATGCAGGCAGGTGTGTATTGTGATTTTCGGAGTCCTCTAAAGGCTTCTCGGAATTCTGCGTGACAATGAGAAACACAAAGGGAGAGTAAACACCCAGCCCTGATAAGTACCAAGGGGTTCAGCTATGTCAGATGCGCTGGTATGCGCACTGAATTCGCAGTGTTGTATTTTGATTCGCCTCTCAGATTTCGTACAGAGGAAGTAAGGCGGAGTGACCTTGAAAACGTAGGAGTAAAAAGTTGTTAGCCGTCGAGACACACCTGTTCGCATATCAGCATAAACAAACCGCAGAATTATTCCACGAGTTAACTCTGCGTCTGACGGAGATTTCCCTGCGTCATTGCGCCTTTACGGTGATTTGCGTAGGCATTCGGGTCCTAGATCTGATCCTTGGTCTGGATGACACATTCGCGATAAAAACGACTTGGGAATGATGTCACAGTTGACAGCACAATTTGCGTGAGTGTACCAACAAGAGATCGAGGAAACAGAAGGCCGGATCAGGATTCGTAGAAGCCAACGGTCGTTTCCTCGGTACTCGGGCAGTTGTCCATGAGACAGCGAGCGAACATCCCGTCAAAGTGGATTCTGCTGTCAGCTGGTAGCAAGAAGGTGCTAGAAGTGCTGCAGGCGTGGATGTCCGAGGTCAGACAACATGATTTACCCTCCCCACCTACTATCACCTGCTATCACACACGTGGCCAGGTAGCGCGGCCACACTTGTCGCCCAACAATGCATACCGATAATACTACTACTGTTCCCGTGACTGCACCTTCATCTTTTCCATTCTTGCCGGTTGTGTACTGGAGTACCTAGGATGGAGTGAGCATTCCGAAACCACTTCGGTTGATGGAAAAGGAAGACTGAAAATGGTGATTTAATTTAGCATATTGCGTTACATCGATCATTTAATACCCTCACGCCACGCTCAGTTAGAAGAGGGAAGGTTGGTGTAGTTGTCAAGAGGTAACGAGACCTGTGGAGGGTGCGTAGGCGGTGTTTCAAAGTGGATGCATGATAAGGATGAAGCGTTAGGCGTCGCTGCGATTGCTGCGTGCCTTAATGCTTTCAATGCAATAATGCGATCATGCTTTTGCGAATTGCACGCATATTTCCAGGGACGAACGCACATCCCAGTTATGCCCTGACTGAATGCTGTAGATTACCAATTTCCCCATTTGTGTTAGATATTCGACTATGCCCTCAAGGCGTTCTTAGATTATTGCACACGAGTGTAGGCCTGTCTCGACACACCCATCCCACCAAGTCTGCCCAAAAAATCCAATTTTATAAAAAAAGCATTTTTATATGTTGCATTAAGCAAAGAAGATACAGTAAAATACTTTTGATGATCTGGTCAATCAGAGACATTGAATGCCACCTGAGCATCAGTCGTCGTCATCATCGAAGGGCCAATCGATGGGAACGCTCAGCCTCTCCCAAACTGCCTTTCCTGCCCTCTTCGCACCCCGCACAATCTTCCCACCAACCTCCTTCGCTTTTCGCACAACCTTTCCACCAACCGCCTTTGCTTTCCGCACAATCCTCCCACCAACCGCCTTCGCTTTCTGCACACCGGCACCGATGGCGTGCTTGGCACCGTTCGCAATTCTCGGTCCGTGCCTCTTCGCCAACTCCCAGGCACCTCGCACTATCGGCTTCACGGGAATTCGTGCAGGTGCCAGCACCTCCCCCTCCTCGACGCTGTCCTCTGTCAGGTCAGTCGACGTCGAGCGAGATCCATCAGCTCCACCTCATCCTCTTGCCGAAGATGGAAGGATGCGGCGAGTGCAGCGAGACTGAGTAGCAGTAGGAGGAACAGTGAAGTGAGTGATTGCATGTTGATGTCCGGATCAGGGCGGGGTGTCTGTTTATATAGGCGTTGCACCGCGACCAGCACAGTGTGTGCGCGCGTACACTTGTCGCGTCAACAAACCGCAAGTCATTCCACGAGTTAACTCTGCGTCTGACGGGGATGTCCCTGCACGTCACTGTGGGTTTACGGTGATTTGCGTAGGCATTCGGGTCCTAGATCTGATCCTTGGTCTGGATGACACATTCGCGATAAAAACGACTTGGGAATGATGTCACAGTTGACAGCACAATTTGCGTGAGTGTACCAACAAGAGATCGAGGAAACAGAAGGCCGGATCAGGATTCGTAGAAGCCAACGGTCGTTTCCCCGGTACTCGGGCAGTTGTCCATGTGACGGCGAACGAACATCCCGTCAAAGCGGATTCTGATGTAAGCTGGCAGCAAGAAGGTGCTAGAAGCACTTGGAGGCGTGGATATCCGAGGTGAGACAACATGATCTACCCTCCCCACCTGCTTTCACCTGCGACACGCACGTGGCCAGGTAGCGCGGCCCAATTTCCGGCCAAGGACACACACCGATAATACTATTACTGTTCCCGTGACTGCACCTTCATCTTTTATGCAGACTAGTGTTCCATTATTGTCGGTTGAATACTAAGGTATCTAGGATAGAGTGGGCATCCCAAGTTGCCAGATTGGCTGAAACTAATCTGGTTGGCGAGAAAGGAAGGCTGAAGAGGGTGATTTGGATTAGCCTATTCCTTTTCCATCGATTAGTTAATACACTCAAGCCACACTCAAATAGAATAGGGAAGGTTGATGTAGTTGTCAAGAGGTAACAAGACCTGTGCAGGTTGCGTAGGCGGTGTTTCAAAGTGGATGCAAGATAAAGAAGAAGAGTAAGGCGTCACTGTCATAGCAGTTATACGATCACGCTGTTGCGAGTTAGACGCAGAATTCCAGGGGATGAACGCACATCCCAAGAATGCAGTGACCGAATGCTGTAGATTACCAATTTCGCCATTTATCGCAGATATTCGACTATGCCCCCAAGGAATGCTTAGATTATTGCACACGTGATTAAGCCTACCTAAATAAATCTGATCTCACCACGTATTCCTTACAAAAACCAACTTTACAAAAATAGCATTTATATATGTGATGAACGACAAAGGTACAGCAGAATACTCTTGAAGATCTGGCAAATCCAAAGCATTGACCGTAGTTTGAACACCAGTCGTCGTCATCGTCGGAGGGCCATTCGACGGGAACGCTCAGCCTTTCCCACACTGCCTTGCCTGCCCTTTTGGCACCCCGCACAATCTTCCCACCAACCTCCTTCGCTTTCCGCACACCGGCACCGATGGCGCGCTTGACACCGTTCACAATTCTCGGTCCATGCCTCTTCGCCAACTCCCAGGCACCTCTCACTATCGGCTTCACGGGAATTCGTGCAGGTGCCAGCACCTCCCCCTCCTCGACGCTGTCCTCTGTCAGGTCAGTCGGTGTCATTTTGGCGAGATCCATCAGCTCCACCTCATCCTCTTGCCGAAGATGGAAGGATGCGGCGAGTGCAGCGAGACTGAGTAGCAGTAGGAGGAACAGTGAAGTGAGTGATTGCATGTTGATGTCCGGATCGGGGCGGGGCGTCTATTTATATAGGCGTTGAACCGCGACCAGCGCAATGTGTGCGCGCGTACACTTGTCGTATCAGCTATCCGCCCACTTACGCGTGGGTGTATGTGGTGTCAGCGACAGTACGTCACAGAATGTAGGCTATCCCGCACCTGCCTACGGTACACCTATGCAAGAAAAAATAAAACGCCAGATTGGATACGTGATAAGAGAAGACGACTCCTGTTTTGGGGACAGCGAGCAGTGTACCTGTCGCGCACCGTCAGAGCGGGGGTCATAGTGATTTACTGAATGATCCAGCCACACTGCGTTCAGCATACGTCCGTAATGGAACATTGTATGTATGTCTGTTTGTTGTGCGTCGGACAGAAGCTCTCTCCACTTTAGTCGCATGCACCGACAGATGCGGAGAGGAACCGGGTGTAGGGAAGAGTGAAAGAGTATGTGAACCCTTCTACTACTTAATGACGGGTCGGCGCATTTTTGACAGGATCAGACCGATGCGGTTAAATCTATCAGGACACGCTTGATCTTGTGGTTTGGAGTTGTGCCATCCGGCAGAATAATTCAATCCTCCTCAGTTGGTGGGACAGTCGAAGTCTAGTCAGCTGCAAATGCAGAGCTTGTCTCTCCTTGAACGTGCCTGAACAACTGACAACGCTGCCATTTGAAGCGCCATCCAGCCCCCCTGTAAATCAAGACGCAAATATTGTTTCGCCGGGCGGCACAGTTACTACCGGTCACCGGTAAAGTTAATTCATTGTTGGTGGCCGCAATTATTTTGATGACTTTGAGGCCACCGAGACGCACAGTGGATGCCGTGACCTGCAAAGCTGTCAACTGAGATCCAATATCAATCCTGGGTTCTGGAGAAAAAGTGTTTTTTGCCGGAACGAGTTGAGCCCATCAGGTGGCTCACTATCCCCGGCATCCATCCAACATGCCTAATTTATCCGCGAATAAACGTCTTTTTACAGTGATGGCGCCTTCTTTTTCTTCCTGAAACTCGCCACTTCTCCTCCATCAGTCTCCCACTCGTCAGCCGACATGCAAACTGGCAAAGACAAGAAGGTGAAAATGGGCCTCACTACGTCCTGATGATTCAGCACATCCCTTATCATAAGTATCCAGACGCTTTTGAGGCTATCGAGAAACAGTAAAGGTCATGATAAGTCAGTCTTTTCTTCCGAAAAGAAACATGCGATCGCTGAAGCGAGAGGTTTGTTAGGCTGATGTTCTGGATCCGCACTCCAAGCCGTCATCACGGACAGTCGCAGATAAGAATTATATAATCGCTAGAAGCAGTGGCCACGTATCATATCCTGGGTTCCGGAGAAAAAGTGTTTTTTGCAGGAAAAAGAGGATTTGCTGGCCTGACCTACTGGATTCTCAACTGAGCCCATCAGGTGGCTCACTATCACCGAAACTGATTTTAGCCCGCGCCATCCAGCAGGACTAATTTCTCCCCGAATAAACCTCTTGTTCCAGTGATGCCGCCTTCTTTTTCTTCCTGAAACTCGCCACTTCTCCTCCATCAGTCTCCCACTCGTCAGCCGAGATGCAATCAGACAAGGAAGTTAAGGTGGGCCTCGCTATGTTCTAATGATTCAGCGCCTCCCTTATCGTAAGTATTCAGACGCTTTTGAGGCTATCGAGAAACAGTGAAGGTCATGATAAGTCAGCCTTTCCTTTCGAAGAAAAACATGAGGTCGTTGAGGCTAGAGGCTTGTTAGGCTGATGTCCTGGATTCGCACTCGAACCCATCATCACTGACAGCCGCAGATAAATATCATGTAATCATAGGAAGCGCAGTATTTATAAGACACAGCGGTCACGTAGTCGAATGCCCACTATAATTGACCACTTTCTTTTTCATTGCTGAGGATCGAATTTGGCTCAATGACTGCCTGCTAGTTAACCTTCTAATCAATCTGCCAATTAACCTTCTCCCCCCGTTCCAGCGGTCGCATTCACATCTTTTATTGAACAGCTTTCTGAAACTCGCCTCCTCGCTTTTATCAGTCCTTCCCTTGTCAGGTAGTAGAACAGTTGTAGACGATTCAACTGTGATTACGACACTTGTGCCTCCTGCGTTCCCATTTATTGTCGTTCCCAACAGGGCCCTAGCTGTAGGAGGCGCATCTGCCCCCTATCAAAACGAACACGTTTATGAGGCGACGGATAGGCTAGGCTTGCCAGGATAGTGGACTATTCATCCAATACGATGAACTTGCAAAGTTTAACCATAATGTGCAAATCAGGCAACGAGGGATCGATTTCCTAACTGGCAGACTACAAAAAATAATTAATAAAAAAAGTTTGACATTTGTATGCATTTATCAGATAGCAGTTGCCTGTAGATTGCCCTCGACCGATTTTTTTCAACGTCGCAATGCACTTGCACAGTATTTGATAAGCAGGCGTTTAGTCTTTTTCAAGAAGATATGCCGGCTTGAGCATTAATCAGAATGTTATTACCGACAAAGTCAGGGGAGACTGAAATGGGCATTTTTGGCTTATTAACCGTCGTCAGCCAGTCATTCCCGACCCCCCGAAGTGTGGAACACCCGAGGGTGGAACTCGCGACCTCTTAGTTAGAAGTCTACGCCTATAACCACAGGGCAACGAACCCGTTGCCCTGTGGGTTTTCGATCGGGAATATACAATGATAGGGGGCGGTCACGGATCGTTCTTATGGAACTCACTCGTTGCGTTGTTGCCTCGAGCCTCGGGTGTCCCACACTTCGGGGTTGGTTATGACTGCCTGACAACGGCTAATAAGCCAGAAATGGCTATTTCAGTCTCCCTTGTCTTCGTCGGTAATATCATACTGCCTATCTCATGCGCCGCTGTGCGGCTGCTGGTTGGGCTCGAGAGAGAGCACGTAGGGCACAAAGGAAGAAGTGAGTTTCGTAAAAACGACCGGTTAGCGCCCCCTACCATTTAGTCAGAATATTTTTGTTCAGGGTGATTTAAAGTGAAAACAGAAAAATGCATCTTCTTTCAGCATTCTCAATCAGATCGATCAAGTGCTCAAAACATTCAAATCAACTTTGCCATTCTCAATAGCTTTTGGTATTGCATTTGTCCTGTTACTGCAAGACCCGAACATAAATATTGCGTTTTTGAATGCTCAGTGCTCGTGTCAGACCATCGAACGCCTCCGAACCAAGTAAACAAACACCCATATGCGTCATGGCAGCCTACGCCTCCGTAAATACGATCAGTGACGATACCGCGGTCCTCTGTCTCAATATATAAACGTCCGCGAACATCGTTCGCGCATAGCGCAGCATGCGGTCTCCGGTAGTACTTTTCTGGCTTCTTGGTTTTACTGTCTTAGCGGCTTCCTTTCGGCCGCAAGACCCAGCACACCTCGATCAGCTGGTGGACGAGGTGAGCACCGCGACGGCGGAGGAGGAGGAGGAGAAATCCCAGCTGCACGGAGACGAGGTTCTGGCCCCAGCGCGGATTCCACTGAGGCCACTTGGGCGCTTCGCCGGTCGCGTCGTTAGAGCCGGTGCGCGAGCGGCCGTACGGGTTGGAAAGAAGGTCTGGTCGGGTGCCAAGAGGGTTGGCAGAGCCGTGTGGCGCCGCGTCAGCATCCCTCTGGAGTGGCCCAAGAAGAAGGACAAGAAGAAGAAGAAGAGATAAACGTCTGTTGTTACAGCAGCCCGTCGAAATTGTTGTTTATTTTCCAAATGAAAATTTTATGAAATTTTTTCAGCTGACCAGAAGTTTCAACGTTGAGTCTTGTGCTTTCTGCGGGCGGAAGGCCGCATGACATGAAACGAGGGTTCGCACGGCAGTGTCGCGACTTCTATCACGGGGTGAACTTCGGGTAAACGGGTGCAGAAGTTAGGACATGATGTACGATAGTTACTACACAATAATTTCGGTTTTTCATAAATAACTACAGATTTCGAGTTCCCGTGGTATGCCTGCATATTAGAACGCAGTTAACCTCCATTTTTGCAGCAATCGAACACTCGATGGGGGACATTCTCATCTTTCAGCCATTTTTTTATATGTTAACGCATTCATAAAGGTAAAAAACTGGACTATTTGCCTTATTCGTCAGGCATGTAAAGAGCGTTTATTTGGACACATATCTGTTAGGTTGGATTCAGCAATTTGGAAGAGTTCGGCTCGAAAGTAAACCTCCTATATTACAGTGTAATCAAATATCAGGAGTCGGAAGAACCGATTATTCAAAATTCCCTCCATGCATTGGGGAACCTCACACAGCCTTGAGACTGTGATTGCATGAACTTACACCGCCAACTATACTTCACATTCAGCGGGTACACCCTAAATATTGGGTTGACTATCTGAATAAAAAGGAGGCCGTTTACAAGACTGCGAGTGATGACTGCGACGTCATATATTGATACCAAACTGGAAAGTCTGCTTCTGTCTGCTTCCACGAGTATCAACTGGCAGTTAAGGCGCGAAGCCATCTGTCGCACGTGTCCATCAATGTCCTTAAACGCAGGCAAACCTTTACGATGGACAATATACCAGAAGGAAATTTGGAGACATTAGTCGATCGATACAGAATGGCGCACACGGCAGTCTACGGCCGCAGACAAGTATTGATTTTCTGAACATGTTCGAAGATTTTGTCATTTTTGCGCACTAACTCAACACTTGACGGCGACCTACGTAACTGGAGTTGGATATATTTACCAAATAAAGTTTCCTAATCGTCCTAAAAGAACTTATTTACGTCAAAAATTTAAAGTTTTCGCATATATATATATATGCAAACAGGGAAGCAGATAGAGTAGGATGTTTCCGAAAATTCCGGTCTTCTTAACTATGTTTTGACACCGAGCTCTGGCAAGCGAGGGGGAGAAGGGAGTGCGTTAGAAGCTGAGCAAGTTTCGTTTAACTTCAAACTAAATTACGCGCAAGTTACCGTGCTTTTCGCAGCCTGCTGTGGAAGAATGGTGGACATCATGGACGGTTAAATGGTCAGGTTCCTGAAGGACAGCAGTGTACGCAATATTTGCAAAATTCTCCCATACTGAAAAACACGAATACAAGGACACGTGCACTCCGGTATTATGAAGACAGTAGGTGACGTGCATCTAGATCTCAGCATCAGTTATTAGGCCGGCGTGGACACTGGGGGCTCAATTCCCAAAATATATATTATGGCGAGCTTTGCGGGGTCACCAATCACTCCTGCGTATAAATCCCGAACCACTTAACCACCGATGTTACCAAGCTCGAGAAAAAGACTATGCCCTTGAAGAAATAGGAGTATGTTATTGCGATCTAAAGCCCGATACGTAGGAGATGGGCGCATTTTTCACGCATGTACTTACCATATGGTGTAGTTTTCCAACTTCCTTAAATGTGTGAGGTTTTCTGCTATCCTATCGTAGATTGCTTAGATTATTGCACATGAGTATATGCCTGCCTCGACACACCTATCTCTGCACGTATTCCCAAAAGAACAAATTTTATAAAAATAGCATTTATATATGTGAGAAATGGCAAAAAGGTACAGTATAATATTTCTGAATATTTGGTAAATCCAAGGCATTGATGATCGTCTGAGAATCAGTCGTCGTCATCGTCGGAGGGCCATTCGACGGGAACGCTCAGCATTTCCCACACTGCCTTGCCCGCCCTCTTCGCACCCCGCACAATCTTCCCACCAACCTCCTTCGCTTTCCGCACACCGGCACCGATGGCACGCTTGGCACCGTTCACAATTCTCGGTCCATGCCTCTTCGCCAACTCGCAGGCACCTCGTACTATCGGCTTCACGGGAATTCGTGCAGGTGCCAGCACCTCCCCCTCCTCGACGCTGTCCTCTGTCAGGTCAGTCGGTGTCATTTTGGCGAGATCCATCAGCTCCGCCTCATCCTCTTGCCGAAGATGGAAGGATGCGGCGAGTGCAGTGATACTGAGCAGTAGCAGGAGCATTGAAGTGAATGATTGCATGTTGATGTCCGGATCGAGGCGGGGCGTCTGTTTATATAGGCGTTGAACCGCGACCAGCGCAGTGTGTGCGCGCGTACACTTGTCGTATCAGCTATCCGCCCACTTACGCGTAGGTGTATGTGGTGTCAGCGACAGTACGTCACAGAATGTAGGCTATCCCGCACCTGCCTACGGCACACCTATGCAAGAAAAAATAAAACGCCAGATTGGATACGTGATAAGAGTAGACGACTCCTGTTTTGGAGACAGTGAGCAGTGTACCTGTCGAGCAACGTCAAAGCGGGGGTCATAGTGGTTCACTGAATGATCCAGCTACACTGCGTTCAGCCTACGTACGTAATCGAACATACTTCTGCATGTGTGTTTGTGTGTGCGGTGCGTCGGACAGAAGCTCTCTCCACGTTAGACGCTGAACCAAGTCTCCTACGCCGTGGGCATTCACCGATATTTGCGGAGAGACACCGGGTGTAGGGAAGACTGAAGGAGTATGTGGACCCTTCTACTACTTAATTGCGAATCGGCACATTTCTTGACAGGATCAGACCGATTCAGTTAAATCTATCAGGACACGCTTGATCTTGTGGTTTGGAGTTGTGCCATCTGGCAGGGTAATTCAATCCTCTTCAGTTGACGCGACAGTCGAAGGCGAGTCAGCTGCAGATGCAGAGCTTGTCCGTCGTGACTCCAGACTCGGTGAACGTGCGTGAACAACTGACACCGCTGTCAGTTGAAGCGCCATCCAGCCCCCCTATAAATCAAGACGCAAATACTGTTTCGCCAGGCGGCACAGTTTACTACTTATTTCTCCTCTATGCGGGTCACCGGTAGAGTTAATCCACGGTTGGTGGCCGCAATTATTTTGATGACTTTGAGGCCACCGAGACACACAGTGGATGCCCTGACCTGCAAAGCTGTCAACTCATATCCAATATCAATCCTGGGTTCTGGAGAAAAAGTGTTTTTGCAGGAACAAGAGGTTTGCTTACCTGACTTTCCGGATTCTCAATGGAGCCCATCAAGTGGCTCACTATCACCGAAACTGTTTTTAGCCCGTGCCATCTAGCAGGACTAATTTCTCCGCGAATAAACCTCTTGTTCCAGTGATGGCGCCTTCTTTTTATTCCAGAAACTCATCACTTCTCCTCCATCAGTCTCTCACTCGTCAGCCGACATGCAAACTGACAAAGACAAGGACTTAGAGATGGGCCTCACTATGTCCTGATGATTCAGCACCTCCCTTATCGTGGGTATCCAGTCGCGTTTGAGGCTATCGAGAAACGGTGAAAGTCATGATAAGTCAGTCTTTCCTTCCGAAGAAAAACATACGATCGCTGAGGCTAGAGGGCTTGTAAGGCTGATGTCCTGGATTCGCACTCGAACCCATCATCACGGACAGTCGCAGATAAGAATCCTTTAATCATAAGAAGCGATTAAGTTGCTGCCACTGGGACCGTCGGTTACCAGCACCTTCACGGAGGATTGACCAGCCCGCCAATTAACCCTTCCCCCCCGTCCCAGCGGTCGCATTCTCATCTTCTACTGAACCGCTTTCCGACACTCGCCTCCTCGCTTTTATCAGTCCTTCACTTGTCAGGTAATAGAACACTTGTAACCGATTCAACTGTGATTACGGCACTTGTACCTCATGCGTTCACC